TGTTTACCGGTTTGGAGCCAACTCCACCTCATCCAATTATCCTACTCCACCTTCCCATTCCCTACTTCATTAGCAACCCTTTTCTACCTCCTATTACCACCAGGAAATTCTGTGAAACATTGTCCCCCCCCCCCNCACCCTGTCTGGACGGTATTCCACCCAACATCTCCAAAATGTGTGCTCCTACCTTACGTCGTCTTTTCAATCTTTTCTCTTTTGCAACCTTTTGGAAACGCCCGTGATTATTCCAATCCCCAAAAGTGGCGACCTTTCCGACCCCAACCATTACTGACCCGTTTTCGAAAGTATTTGAAACCATCATCTCCAACCAACTACGCAATTGTGCAACCACCAGTACGACTTCCGACAGCGTCGTTCCAGCGGTGACCTACCGGCTCCGGTGTTACAATCCATTCGGTTGCAAACGATAACAACGGAGAAATACACCTGGTTTCACTTTATATCTCAAAGAGCTTCCATCGAATTTGGCACAAAGGTCTGGAGAAACTACAGATATCCTGGTTCTCTCTGGCTCACGTATCGTGGAGATCAAGTTTCCTCAGTAGGCAAACCATCTCTGTCCGATTTGATGGGGTTTTATCTCAAACGCTCCTCAAGGTTCAGTACTTGCTCCCCACCCGATTTTTTCTATTTATCAATGACATTCTTTCTAAATCTGTCAACTCAATCCATTACCCTGTCAATGACGCCACCCTCCACTGCTCCCTCTCATACTGCACTACTCGCCATACCCGAACCAACATCGTCCGTGACCGTGTGTCACTGGACTCGGATCTTGAAAACATCTCTTCCTGAGGCAAGCACGTTCCACACCAGCACATCTACTGTGCAAAGCTCAAGTCCGCCCTGCTCTTGAAGACAGCAGTTACGGCCAGTGGTGCATCGTTTTCTTTCTTTCTACTGTATGATCGGGCGCTATCTAGCCCTACTACTTTATTATTTGTTTTTCGGAACTTACCTCGGCAGTGCCTTCTCCTGTGACCTATACCAGCCCATCCCGTACTCAGAAATTCATTCGTCCTGATGAGATTTCGGTCAACAGATATCGTACTTCGCTGCTGTTCTTTTTACACCCAACTACTAAGTTGTGGAAAACCCTCCCATTTTGACTTCTCAACAACATGCAACCTTTCACCCTTCAAGCTGGATCATACAGTATGCTCTTTGATTATGGGGATTTTCTCTTTTACTCACACTATGTAGTAGAAAATACCTGAACACACGTTCCGTTCGTACGCACACCATCGTTCTTCTCCGATATCATACCAGCCTTTGACTCAGTAGATTGAGCCGTAGCCTTGCGCTGTCTGACTTTGAAGGGCGTGCCAGAGAAGTTTATTTATGCATTGCAAATCTTTAATGCGGGTAGCCGGAACTGCATTCAGTCCAGTTTTTATAACCATTAACCATGCACTTACGTGCGCCTGTTTTGGTAACTGTCTCATGAGTGTCCATTTAAAAAACAGAGAAGACGGAAGAAGGGAATGTTGCGAGCAGAGTAAAAGAGAAGATAGACAGATTTACATGGACAACGGTCTCAAGGCTGGTGAGTAGATGCACGAGCGCCACTGTTTGCGAGTCATACCATTCAGTGCCTCTAAACTCAAGTTACCATGATCTCAGGGTCCCTACCCGGTAAGCCTTCTACAGTCTACGTGAGCAAACCTCCGGATCAGGGTTTTTAAACCCTACGGCTAGGTCCAACATCGACCGTCCTTTACTTTTTTCCAACCACTATTTGCCTCATCAAACAGCACGCGTCGTGGCAACCTATTCGGTGGCATGCGCAGCACATGCCACCAACCAACGTAATCTATGGAGGTCGACTACTTGCGCCACCTAGAACTTGGCGTCAAACCTCGGCATTACTTGTCTGGTTTCCCCACCAGACTTGTGCAATACGGTGTAGACAGCGGTATTCGAACACCGACAATCTATTTTATCCTGTTCCAAGTTTCTGCACCTTAGAGTAGGACTGGTCTGACTGCCGTAGCATATACTCCGCCCGTCACAGACGGTCGGATGTCGCGACTGCACCCCCAATGAATCAAGCTGAAAAATGTCAATCGAGCCTTCTGTTCGCATGCCGACCCTTCAACCGGGAAGCGTCCACCGGGTGAGATGCAGTTGCCATAGTAAAAAAATTTGCCCACTTCGCCTAAAACCATCCAGTTTGAGTGGGGTTGGCTGCTGGAGCAACCCAGTCCTGTAGCAACATTTTACACCCGGAAGGTACAAAACCCGCACAGAACGTGACGACACAAGCACTCAAACTATCCAGAAAAGCTTCAAACTCACCTGGATCTTCACTTAGCAGCACGTCGTCTGCCTACACCAGATCAGATAGTCTGCCATCTGGGAGCAAATCAACGCCCCTATCCTCGCACGAAGATAGAGCTGTTTCAAGAATTAAATCTATCACAAAGTTAAACAGAAAAGGAGAAAGAGAGAGAGGTGGAAACCATGACGAACACCACTTTCCGTTGTGAACTCGGGTGAAAGAGTGCCGCAGGCTCAGACTGAGCTGCGATGATTACCATAAGGAGATCGAAAACTGAAACAAACCTCTCAGACACACCCTTCAGCGCTGCATTTAGGTTGAGGGCCCGCACACCCGAGTTCACAATGGAAGGCGGTGCCAGGATCGCATTTTTTCTTTATTTTTTTAACTTTGTTGTAGATATGATAATGAAAACTGCTTTGCTCTCGTGCGCGAATAGCGGTGTCGGTGTTCACCCCAGTGAGCCAGTTGTCTGACCTCAAAAAACTTAAAGAAATTCAAAGGAGGCGAAGGACATGCGGGTGATGACTGAAATGTGAAACACTCAAATAATTGCTTTTTGGCACTATTTTCAGTAGGGGAAAATATAATAGAAAATAGACAAGCATTTCATGTGGTTGGATGTAAAGTGCAACACACCAAGGTAGTTAAAAAATAGTCGGAAAGAAATTTTGATGGCACATAGTAAAAAGAAAAAACATAAAACTCTTCCAAAGAGTGGGTTATCTTTGGGAGTGCGTCAAATGCACAGGGGGCTATTTGCAAGTCACATAAAGGTTATACCAGAGATAGCGGCACTTCAACCAATCTCGGATGTTGGGAAAATTCGAAAAAATAACCACGGATCATGGGGATGACCGGGAGGGGCGAACAAATCGATCCAAGGTTCCGGCAACCACAGGAACTTTCTGACTTCCACGACTACGTTTTGTACATCGACCGGACGGATTCGGACGTGCAGCGGGTTTTGATTTGCACATGGAAGATGAAGTGGTGGAGGGCAGGGAGGATGATGCGGGTGCTTTTCTGGTCATCAATAAGTTGGAAGTGGCTTCGCGAGTCCAGTCTTGCTGAACACGTTGTGCCACATGGAAATCAGAGTGCTCTGGCACCTGCCAAACGGAGATTCGAGAACCACACTCATCACAGATAATCCAATCACCAGCCACATAAGATGTGAAAAATACCCCAGGTGTGTCTGACGTGCTGGAAGATCGAGAATTCGAATCGGGTTCAATAATCGGATCAGATTCGGTTGGTGCACATTCCGATGTGTCATCTAACTCATGCACAGACGGTTGTAGGGCGACTGTAAGAGCAGGGGGGGGAGGACATTGTGGTGCGGACAACTCGGCCACACGGAGTCGTTTGAAGAAAGAGGACGTGCCAACTGATGCGCTGTTTGGAACGGAAGTGAATGCCGTGTGATCTTCCTCTGATCGAATCGGGGAGGATTTCCTGTTCTGTTCTTTATCCGTGTCATGGACCGACTCTGTGACTGTTGCATCCCCCGCTTTGATAGCGGTAGGGGTGGGGGTATCAGGGTGCATGAACATCTTGAGTAGACTGCCAGACTCTGTAGCCAGATCAGATGAGAACTTCCCCACTGTAAAAGCCAACAATGTAATTGGAGTTTTCCTATGGAAAGGATTGTGATGAGAAAAAATAAGCATTTACTTCCCACGGAGTCAATAGATACACCGCTAGGTGTTAAAAACTATAGACACACAGGAGAAGAATGAATGGTGAAATATATATATAGGTGGATAAGGAAGCCACGCGTGGTTGAACATTCCTAAAAATGGTTCGGTTTGCTAGTTCGTTAGAAGGGTTCAAAAGCACCGCAACACCAATCAAGAACATCAGCAGCATCATTATAAACTTTTACAAATAATAAAACACATTAGAAACAGATTAAAACTAGCTTCTTAGCCACGTATCTGGAGCATTGAGAATTCATTCACATATCCTGACCCTGACCTTGGCCTGAAACAATTCACGAAAACGAACTGTCTTTCATGATCTCATCTCTCCGTCCCTACAACATAGTCCTCCTCCAAATTAGATTTGAACCACAGTTTGAAACAGCCCCTATCGAAAACCGAACCTGGAACAAAACAACAAAATCAAAAAATCTTCCTTGAATTCTTCAAAGTTGTTATTTCTTTCACCTTACTTCCTGGGAATGAAAACCCAATGCTAATTGGACACCACGAGCCAGTTTCTAAATAATTTTTTTTCACTGTCGTTTTTGAAGCCCAACACCTAAAGCGTGTGTCAACGAAGTAGAAAAAGTGCACAGACCCAGACAGAATTTAAACGCATTTTCCCCTCACTGAATACACAATTTTCAGGGAGAGAGGAGCGGTTGATCAAAGGACTACCAAACGATACACAAAATGGGGAAATTACACGGCGATGTTGGGGTTCAAACAAACACGTATTCTGAGGGGGGGGGATTTGATGACCTTAATCGCTTGGCCACCACCGCTCATGTGTTATTACTTCATTAGCTCTAGCAAGTTTTGTATGAGGTTATACTGGAAACTTGAAGCTTTTCATTCCTAGTTGTGTAATCAATTTACAGTCGATTAGGCTGACAATAAACTCGTCAACATTAGGCAACATTTGATCTGCCCTTTGGACGGCTATGAATATGAACGCTTCCAGTTATTTCTGTGAACCCGTTAATTCCTCAATGAATCAAACATTTTTGTTTGCAGGTTATTTCATATATTTGTCAATGTTGCATCCTATTGATTGTCTCTGAAAAAAGATGAGGATGAGAAAATGGAAAAAAACTACATGAATGCATCGAGCGTTATCAAGCGATGTAATCTTAACAGTTTCAAAAGGATACCGAATGACTGTTTTTGACCCTCACCTAACCTAGATCTGTATGTATGGTTACTGACCAGACTACGTATCCCGATCGGCTTCGTACAATGCTTCTTTTTTTTACTTGCTTGTTTGCCTGCCTCACGGATGTTGCAACAGCTCACATTGAGACGACACGTTC